ATGTGTTCTATTGTTAATAGTGTTCTAAGTGTTTAATTAGGGAAGAATATTGTCTTTTAATGTGCTTCTGTGAATTTCTTTTGCCTATTTTTGCTCAACGAGATACAATGTATACATCTACTTATCACTAAGTGCAAGGTAATCTGAGAGTTGTCTCTATTCTCTTCATGTGTGTGTAAAATATGCCACCTTTTCAGACCTCTGTGCTAACATAAGGGAACAGTGATGCAGACACAACCTGTAATAGTTTGCCTGGGCTGCCATTATAAAAAGGTACCAAGGGGCGCCTGAGTGGCTCAGTGGGTTAAGTGTCTGCCTTTGGCTCAGATCATGATCCCAAGGTCCTGGGATCAAGCTTCATGTTGGGCTCTTTGCTCAGTGGGGAGCCTGCTTCTCCCTCTCCCTGCCACTCCCCCTGCTTGTACTCTCTCTCTCATTGTCAAATAAATAAACAAAATCTTAAAAAAAAAAACTTAAAAAAGAAAACGTACTACAAAGTAGGTAGCTTATACAACCAAATTTATTGTCTCACAGTTCCAAAAGCTCTAAGTCCAAAATCAAGGTGCTGTCACAGTTGGTTCCTTCTGAGTGAAGTAAGGATATTTGGCATTACTTGCCTTATAGATGCTTCACCCCAATCTCTGCCTTAACGTTCACATGGTGTCCTCCTGTATATGTCTGTCTCTTCACGTTTCCTATTTTTATAAGGACACCAGTCACATTGGACGAGGGGCTCATCCTGCTCCAATGTGACCTCAACTTATTACATGTGCCACAACCTGATTTTCAACTATGTCCACATTCTGAGGTACTTGGGGATTGGAACTTTACCATATGAATTTTTAGGGAGCACAATTTAACCCATAACGACTCTTGTTTCTATCATGATACTTAAACATGAAGATACTCAGACTCTTTATTTGATAACCTGATGCTCACTGAAGAGTAAAAACATTCATCAGTCATCTTAGTATTTGGCTTATTTGTTGCAAATAATGGGAACCCGAATGTATTCAGTATCACTTACTCTGTGGACACTTCTCTGTTGTACGTCTGATATGTGCTTGCATGTTACCTGTGTACTTCCCACCTCCTTTTCTTATTCTGTAGAGAAGGGAAATGTCAGAAGCTTTACATATGAGTTATATTTCCACTATACGAGAGTATCCTTTAAATTTCCATGATTAATACTTCTTATTTACAGTCCTCCTGCACTACCAATTTTGCTTTAGTTTTAACTTCTTCAGTGTTTAACTTTGATCTTGTTTATTCTCTCCAATGGTACGTATTGATAAGTAAACACAATTAGCAAATACTCAAGAGGTAAGGAAGTCTTCAAACCTAACCGGTATAGAATACCCTTAGGTAACGTAGCCAGTAGGCTCCCTTTCTAGAAAATAAACTCGTAAACAATACCTTGATAGTCATTTACTTTAAATGTATTCAGAACAACCAAAAAGAAGGCTGGCTCTGACATGTGAAAATCATTGATTTGGGCATGTCGGAGAAAATCTCTCTTTAGAATTACAGATTCTTTTTCCAAATACAAAACTCTAGTTATCTGATTTTAATACCAAAGAAAATGTCTTCCTAATTTATTAAAAATGGAGGGAAAATAGTACTGAAAGCACTTGAGTGCACTTAGAAACCAGCTAATGAGTTAAAGATTTCAGAGATGTGCAGTATACTCTCCTTTAGAAGAAATAGGCTCTCATCCCTTGGTTATATTTTGAACACCATATATGCTATATTTGTTGTACCTGCACTGCATATGACCTATCTAAAATTAATAAACCGGCAGTGCTTTGGTAAGGATAATTAAAATTAAAGTCTTTGTATAAACATTTCTGTTCACTAATTATTTTTTTTTTGTTTTCTCTCTGAACGTCTTAGGGAATGTTAATACATCAAAATCAACTTTCTTAAGGCTAGGATAATGACAGGTTATACAGTAGTTTACTTTCAAGTCTAACCTTTTTTAGATTTTAAGCCTTGTTTTATAAGTGCACCTGATGAGGTCAACAAACATCAAATAGAGAACAGAAATGTCAGCATGGGCTAAATCTGACAATTTGTTCATTATTCACTGTCAAGAATAGCTTATGAACTTTTAACGGTAATTCCTAATGAGAAAACCCCCCAAGTTGAGAACAAGATAATTAGAATAAATGAGACTGGCCTAAGTGACAGACTGATGTATTTCATCCCCATGACTTTATGATTTTATGAAATAACATGTATAAATTTAAAATAACTCATTTATAATAATGTCTTTGACCTTTGGAATTACTATCTTTCATAATCTTGTGCTGCTTTATGTCACTAATTTCTGGATCAATATTAGGCGGTCATTTTTTCCTTTCAGAACTAAAGATGGAATGTTAAGTTTAAATATGAGAAACCCATATTGAAAACAGAGGCTATTTATTAAATTTGCTTATTTTTCAAATTTTCTGCTTTTCAACTCTGTATAACCTTTCACTTACCCCTGCTGATTCTGATGTTCCACGGGTCACACCTGTTCTTAAGGAGATGTGGGAAGGAGTAGGTTAGAATGTGAAAGAAACACCTGGGTGAATTTTGCTGTAAAGGGTTTTTACATATTGCTGAGTCTTTTCACCTGCTGCCCAATGCCCTTTCTGTTGACAGCAGCAGTGTGCCTCCTGTATGGGTCAGAATTCTTCCTCACAGGCAAAATAACAGCAAACAACTCCACTCTAAGAATACTGAGCAGTTTTTGCTTTCAATGCAAAGCGCAACAGTAAGAGGACAAACATAGGGAAGGGGTTTTGTTATAAAATGATAAACATTGAAACCTTAAGGTGTGTTACTAGGAGAAGGAACATCTAGGATTTATTCTTAGTGTCTGAAGCATCGTATCCTTCAGCAGGTTATTCTACTGGGACTCGTTATCTTTATACATAAAATAGGAACGTTAGACCTGATGTTGTAGGCTGTTCTATCCAGCTCCCTTAGTCTATGTTTTTGGTTGTGTGACACTGCAGTGTGTAAGGGCAATTATTAGCTTCCAGGTCATTCTTCCTGGGCTGCTTCATACCCGCCTCCCAAATACACAGCTATTTTGCTTTGCCATTAAAAACATTGGAAGAAGCGTGAAATAATACTGTTATAGAAGCAGAGGGTAGAAGTTGGCAAAAGAAAAAAGTAGTGATGAACTGAATAACCTTAAGTTAACAGATCGTGAGGTGCTAGAACACTCTACCCGCCCTGCATGATGGTTATATCTACCGAATGCCTACCCTACACTGGCTGAATTTTTTTACTTTTCTCTGGTCATCTACCTGATAGCATGTCAATTAGATATTCATTTGAGTTACCAAACTTCACTCACATGTGTTCTGAAAATTAGTTGAACACTGTAGTGGGGAGGATGTTTAATATAACTGTCTGATCTTAAGAAATGGGTGATATGAAGGGTAAGAATAGAGGTTTTGCCGCCAGCTAATATTTGCCAAGTGTGTATAATGTGTCACGTACTGAAAACCTGTGAAAATCATATGGAGTAGGAATCATTGTCCCCATTTTATAAACGATTAAGCAAAGGATTAGCATGTTTTTATCTTTCCAGTGGCCACACAGAACTAAAAGATAATACATAGCACTCAAATAAAAGTTTAATTGTAAATACCATGCTCTTAAGTGCTAGGAAATATTAGTATTTTCCAGCAGCAAGTGTTTGTTACTGAAGTCATTTTTTCTTAAACTATGTAATTCTATAATCTTGCTTTCTGCAAGTTTAGTTTAACCTTATAATTATTTTCCACCTCTTCTTAAAATACTTTAACTGATGCCTATATTAGTATTCTATTGCTGCTGTAATGTCTCAATTTTATGGCTTAAAATAACCCAACTTTGTTGTGTTATAGTCCTGAGAGTCAGAGTCCAACACTGGTGTTACTGAGATAAAATGAAGCTGTTGGCTGGACAACACTTTTCTGTAGAGGCTCCAAGAGAAATGATTTTCTTTGCCTTTTCTTCTAGAGGCTGCCCGCATTCCTTGCTTCATGACTATATCATCTTGAATTCCAGTAAGGGCAGATTTAATCCTTCTCAGACCACATCACCCTGATCTACGTGTCTGCTTCTCTCTTCCCCTTTTAAGAACACTTTGTAAACATTGAGGCCACCTGGGTGTAATCCCAAATAATCTTCCTATTTTAGGGTCTGTTGAGTAGCAACCTTAGTTTCGTCTGCAACCTTAATTCCCCTGTGACATAACACAGCGTATTTACAGATTCTGGTGATGAGATTATAGACATTTTTGGGGGTAGGGCGAACTATGCTGCCTATCACAATGTCTCATATATTTTAGAACAATATCCTAATACTTTATGCTGCCAGGATCCCATCTCTGAATATATGTTATTAACACTGATATTATTTCCTTAAGGTATTAAGAAAATAATAACGCATTTATTAACACTGAGATTATACATACCTAAAAATAATAGGAAATCACAGACATACATTTTTTAACTGCTACAAATTTCCCATTTCTCGATTCATAATTTTTTCTCATGGGTTAGTTCTTGGGATATGTTTTGATATTTTTATTTTTAGGGTATTTTTTTCAGGTACACATCTGTGAACATATTTATGTTGATTTTACACATGAAAGATTAATTCTTAGTGTGTAATTCATGGTTATAATTATTTCCCATTGAAGATCTATAAAATACCGTTTTTTCCTGTCATCCAGCATTTCAAAGGAGAAATATGAGGCTCAAATAATAGGTGGACATAAATTTTTCCCTGTTGTGGGTTTAGAGAACTTAATATGTATATATATGAAATAGGCAGAATGTCTCCCACATAAAGATGTCAATGCCCTCATTCCAATAATGTGTGAGTATATTATGTTACATGGCAAAAAAAAATTTGTTGAGGTCATGAGTCTTAAGAGACAGAAGGTGTTCTGAAAGATTCAGCTGGGCCCAATCTAATTTCAGGACCCTTTATAAGCAGCAAAACATCTCCAGATGAAGCTAGAGAGATTCGAACAGCAGGAGGGATTAAGCCCGCTGTTGCTTCAGATAACAACAGAGGACACCATGAGAAGAAACGGGCACCGTCTAGAAACAAAGCGTAAGCCCCAGCTGACAGCCAGAGGGGAAGGAATGGGGACGGCATTTCTGCCACCATATAAGGAACTGAATTTGGCCAACAACCGGGATGAGCTTGGAAATGGATTCTTCTCCAGAGCCTCCAGGAAGGTAAGCTTTCCCGCCTATCTTTTGATTTCATCCTTGTGAGCACTTCAGCAGAGGACTCAGATGAGCACTGGGATTTTGACCTACAGAACTGTGAGGTAATAAAGTGGGTGTTGTTTTATGCCAGTAAATTTGCATTAATCTGTTTTGGCAGCAATATAAACCTAATATAAATAGTTCCTTAAATTACAGCCAGTTAGGGTGCCTGGGTGACTCAGTCGGTTGAGCGACTGCCTTCGGCTCAGGTCATGATCCTGGAGTCCCGGGATCGAGTCCCGCATCGGGCTCCCCGCTCAGCGGGGAGCCTGCTTCTCCCTCTGACCCTCTTCCCTCTTGTGCTTTCTCTCTCTCATTCTCTCTCTCTCAAATAAATAAATAAAATCTTTAAAAAAAATTACAGCCAATTTGTAGTAAACATATTGAAATAATTAAAACTGCTTTTAGACCAATGGGATGAACAAAGCTTAAAAAAATGTTAAATCTCATGTAGGCTTAACGTGAGTGCTTTCATTAATAGTTTGTGACAATATTAATTTGTAGTGATATTTAATAGCCATTTGACATGTGTGAAGATTAAAATTAACATGTCATTAGATTTGATAATTCCATTTATATAAATTTATCCTACAGCTATACCCACACCTGAAGCAAAGACATGTTCAAGATGAGTGCCCATTTTAGAAGTGTTTGTGTAAGAAGAATAGGAGAGATGGTTTCATTGCTGTTTAACTTAATATGGTATATTCATGCAACGGAATGCCAGGCAGAAATTTTCATGATGAAGTGGATATATTTGTTGTCATGTGTGATCTTGTGATTTATAAGAAATGTATTTGGCCATTCAGATGACCAAAATTATGTTTCTCATATATATTTGGTCTTTGTCCATCATTCTTAGCTCACAGCCCCGCAAATTTTTGGACTTCCCTGAGCCATGAGAGCAATGAGATCAACCTTTGTTATAATATTTGGTCTCTTGTCCTCCATCCACGAAATCCCTTCAAAACCATAAAGGTAAAAAGTGTGTCTTGTTATTCATAGCAAACCCTCTCCACCACAACTGGAGTTACGTTAGTGAGGCGACTTTTGTAAGCACCTGAGGATGGGAGCTGCTTGTTAATGGAGCCAACTATGTGATTAGAGGGTTGGAACTTTCACTCCTACCCCCTAATTTCCAGGGAAAAGAAAGGGGCCGGATGTTGAACCAGTGGCTAGTGATTACATCAATCATGCCTATATAATGACGCCTGCATGAAAAACCCTGTCAGGTTTCAAAGAGCTTCTGGGATGGTGCACACTTGGATATTAAATGAGAGAGCATCAGGTTCTGTTCCCCTTCACCATACCTTGCCCTCTGCCTCTCTCCTATTGGGCTGCTCCTGAGTAATATCCTTTTATAATAAAGCAGTAATCCAGTAAGTAAAATATTGCTTTGAGTTCCGTGAGCTACTACAGCAAATGTAATCAAACACAAGGAGGGAGTTGTTAGAACGTTAGCTGGTTGGTCAGCCCTGCAGGTGATAACCCAATATGTGACTGGCATCTGAAGTGTGGGGGAAGGGCAGCAGTTTTGTGGGACTGGAGCCCTTAATCTGTGGGATCTGATGCTATCTTCAGTCCCAACACGTTGGAACTGAGTTGAAATGTAAGACACCCACTGGTGTTAGAGAATTGCTGGGTGGTGGTTGGAAACCTACCCCCTCCATGTGTGGGAATTGGGGGCAGAAGGGTTTATCAGGAAACAGTCCCCATTTTTTGAATGAAAATAATCAAGGTGCTGAAGAGTACTGTGTTATGGTCTTATTTGTATAAGGGCTTGTATTCTGTACAACAGCACATAGAATTTTTATAGATCTGTATGTAAAAACTAGTTAAATATTGGGAAGAGTGGCATGGGACCTGGGAGTCTAGGCTGAGAAATAGACTTATGGTAATTGTTTTATACTGAATTTTAACATGTGCCTGTATCACATGTTGCAAAGTGTTTTTTTTTTTGGTTTGTTTAACTCTTCTGCTTATAAACAAAATGTCCTCCAGAAATTTTACATTTCCATGAGAAGTTGAAATGTTGCCTGTTTTTCTGGAATAAGTCTTCTAGAATTTGGATATCAGATTCCACTAACCTCTCTCCCCTGTAGCATATGTACAAACATATCCAAGCATTTATAACATGTGAATACGCATGTGGACCTTCATATACTCTAAAGTCCTATTTCTACAAAAATTCAAAGTATAAAACACCCAGAGAGTATCTAGTATCTGGTCAATGAGGATATAGGATAAGGGAGGAACACCAATAGCACATTCTATATGGTACTTAAAATTTTAAAGCACTAGAATGGGGGCAGTAAACAACTGATTGAAAAGTAAGGTGGTTATGAGAGGTTTTCATGAACATTAAAGTCTTCCCAGTATGATTTTAATTCTAGTAGAATCAAATAAAATTCAATTAAAATGTGTTATGAACTATTCGACTAAACAGGATATGCATTATGTTTCCTGGTGGTAGACTATAGAGAAAGTTTAGTTTCCTTCTTGGTGTTTTCTGTTTTCTGTATTTTCTAAGAAACCTGTAATTCATTGTCATCAGAGAAATATTTTAAAGAATGAAGACCTAGGGACGATAGTCCAATACTCTCTATTCACCATTGTTAACCTGAATAAAAGTAATAGGGTCTGAACAAGGACTGTCCATATTTAGAGCTGGGTTACATAGATGAGGCTTGATGGTGGTTTCCATTCTGGCTTCATAGTCCTACTGTTTTGATGCCATAGGCATCCTTTCCTTGTGTCTTCCTGGGCATGTTAGTTGGAAGTTGCTAGAAGGTCATCAGTTGTTGCTGACCATCCTCCGCTCTAAGAGTTCTTCTAATTTAGAACGGGAAAATTTATGTATTTTTGAAATATGTACAACATGTAGCCCATTCAAAGTAGAGTATTTTCTGTTATAAAGGAGAATTAGTCATGGGATATGTGCTTATCTTAGCTGCCCATTTTTGGTTCCAGTATCAAGGCAGCTATCCTTGTTAGGTGGAGTTCATCCAGCTTCTATTTCTCTCCTGTAGTAACTCAGTTATCTAACTCCATATTTTGTGAACAAAGTAAAAAGATTAAAGTGCATAGACCCTTGACAGGGAATGAAAACTGTATATACTTATCTGACAGGTTATCTGTGCATTAAAACTAAAGATTTGGTGGAGTTGATGTTAACATTCAATTATACTTGACCAACTCTCATGAAAAGCCTTTAGCTAAGGGATACCTTTTCTGTTTTTTAATTTATTTTTTTGAAAAGATTTTATGTATGTGTGAGAGAAAGAGGTATCATGATCGGGAGTAGCAGCAGAGAGAGAGAGAGAGGAAGAAACAGATTCCCCACCAAGCGGGGAGCCAGACTCCGACTAGGGGCTTGATCCCAGGACCTTAGGGTCATGACCTGAGCCAAAGGCAGATGCTTAACCAACTAAGCCACCCAGGTGCCCCTATCTTTTCTTTTTCCCCCGTTCAAATTTCTCACTTTGTTTCAGTTTTGTAAATCTTGTGTTTCTATACAGTGGTATCTGAGATGTCCCTTTCCTAATGCGTATTCTTACTCTTTTATTGAAATTCTAGATTTCTACATCTACAATTTGTGAAAATTCACTTTGAGTTTTATATATCTTCAGGAATTAATCTCTTAGGATAAGCTCTCCAATAGGTACTGCAAAATCTCTGCCTCTAGTTATGTATTAGTACAAAAAGCTTCCTTCTTTAGTGTATATCTCTGAATTTTCTCTGCTGCTGGCTCCATGTTCATGTATTTTTGGTCCTAGGAATGTTTTGAAAACTCTTCTCCTTTTTTTAAGTAAGAGTAATTGTGTTGAAAATGAATCCCACCCTTTTGCTGAAATATGTTCACTCTGACCTTTTGGGAAACTCTCAGACATATTGGCTGAATGCAGGTTAATATTAAAAGCTTATGTATGTTATCAAGGCTGCTATGCACAGTTGTGCTAGATGTGCATTGTATAACACCAGAGGAAGCTATTCACATTATAAACTTCACTGATTTGAATATTGGGATGACTTCTGTCTGATGACAAAGTATTTCGGTACAAAAATACCCTTACATTTTAACAATGTTCAGCTATACAGAAGTGTCTTAAGGGAGAGACGTATTTTTAAAATCTGGGGGGGGCGGGAATCCTATGAGCTAGTATTGACCTTCACTGTTGTAACGAGGAATCTGGAGATTGCATTCATTCAAATACCTTTAGGCAGACATACAACAAAGTGGTTCTGTGCATGTTATTTGGAGTCAAAAACCTGGCTCAAAGATTCCTTCACTTACTAGCTGTGTGACCTTGGGAGAAATATTTAACTTTTTAACTTTTCAGAAATTTGGTTTCCTCATGTGGAAGAATAGGAATGGGAAAATAAAACTTTCATAAATTAAAATACTAAATTTCTCTTGAAATATGAGCATACGTTGGCAAAAGTGGGCATACATTGGCAAAAATGGGCAATGAGTAGACACCACTGGGCCAGCAAACTAAGGAACTAAAAGACAGTTTTGAATTGTCATTATTCGTGTGTGTGTATGTATATATCCCATTTAATTTAAAAAATGATAAAGTAGATTGCTGAGCAAAGTGGTTAGCAGTTGATAACATATGTAATGGTAACTCGGATGCAAATTCATAGAAATTTGAAACATTGGCCCAAATGACCAGAACTGTGGATGATCGGAGGGATAAGATTTAATAATGGCAAGCCACAGAGATAGGAGTCTTGGTACCAGAGGCTTTATATGCATCCTATAGAATGAGCTGTTATGAATATGCCTGAAGTCCTCTGCTTCCCTTAGGCAAAAATGCAGATGTTCAATTAGAGGTGAAACAAGCTTTCCCCAGCGGAGTCCCTAGCAAAGAGTCCCTATGACATCCTGGTGAGAAGTACCCGCTTAAGAAAAATCTAAGAAACTGCCATATGAGAAGAAATTTTGGTGAAATAAGCCCTTGGGG